AAGTCGGGCAAAATCGTGTATGAACTGATCGGCAAATCACATCAACTCACCATGAACTCGCCTTGAAATGAACTTGAGTTGTTAGAGATGCAAAGTCTCCGGCCTTCCTATCACTGTATTGACATTTCTTTTCAGTTGTGATATTGGCCATGGCATAAAGTATTTTTTAAACTAAATCACCCATAGATAGGGGAGAAAATGTGTGAACAGCTGATTGCTATTTCCTGCTTAATTTTCAAGACAAATGTACACACATGTAATTTTCATACCTACGTAGGAAACATTGTCCGGGATACAGTACACAAATACCAATGAATTTGTAAATCATAATGTCTGGTGATGTTTTTCTTTGACCAAATTTGCAAACCGCAAAACAAGCACACAAACTCCAATTGCTGCCATGACCATAACATTATATGCACAGTAAACAGTGCCCCTTTAAAGGGAAGTAACTGCACGATATATTGGATCGCATTGTTTTTAAGTATTGTATCATTTCACTGACTGGGTCATATGTTCGAGACACCGCATGTTTGAGGATTTAAAAAAAAAATCAAATGGAAAAAAATGAAACATGCGGCAGACTTTATGATGATGCAAGGCCTGAAAACCAAGACTTATTATTTTTAGCCTAAAATGTAAATTTTATTTTTATTACACCAAATGACCTATCATGGAGCAGAAAACTTTCAAAAACATTGAATTCCTTTTTCATATTTTCCCCAGTTATCATTCTGTAAAAGATTCACAAAGAAAAAAAAAGTGTGGCCTTCCTCATATTGAGCCTCGAGTGTCATTCTGACAGTTCCAAATCTGGTGAATACGGAAGATGTTCCAGGAGTTAAAAGCTGGAGTCATGCATTGCAACCATGGTCGCACACAGATTTGTGCACAGGTGCTTTGTCCTTGTGGATAAACACACCTTTACTGGTGTTATGTTAAAACTAACAGTATTACATCATCAAGAATGCTAACCTTGACATCATCAATTGGTACATCAAGTGACATTCCATCAATAGCTAAAAGAATGTCATTGATACAAATATTTATCAAAAGAAGCGATAGCAAACATCCTTGGTTCAAACCGCAGTTTACATCAGAATATGAGGTACTGATTCCACACAACACACTGCACATTTGTGTTTGTCCAGCGACAGAATAACATTATACATGAATCAATTAATCTCAAACTCAGTATGCTTTCTCCAAATACTATTTCCATCGATGCAGTGATATCCCTTTTTCTCTCCACAAGGCAACAAATATTGTCTTTTTCATGTTTTCCTTGTTTCTATGATTGACCTCACACTTGAAATATGATCAGTCGTTGATCTGCCCTTTCTAAGGCCACTCGACAGTCACTTAGATGATAGTTTTTTTCAATATGCTGAGACAATTAATCATGCTTAAGAAGGCCACAGTAAGGTTTGTAGCTTCCCCAGGCTTGAGTTGCCAATCCCTTTACACCATATATGGCTGGTATAGTTCCTTAAACAAAACAAACATTGAAAAGCTGTAGAAGAAAATAAGTACAATTGTCATTTTTCAGCACATCTACTAGGATACTGTAAACAGCGGCTGCTTTACCACTTTTTGCACAAAGTAAAGGCCTTCTGAATCTCATCAAGAGTTATTGAACAGTTCAAGTTTTCATTTAGTGTATCATCACATTCTTGTATCTGGGATGCTCTGTCTAACAACTGAGCATATGCTTTACTCCATGTCTCCCTGACAACCTCTGTATCTGAACATACTGAACATCTCACTTCCATAGGAATATATGTCTTTCAGACATATATTTTCTGAAACCGATCTCAAAGACATCAAATGGCAATGGTACATCAACTTACAAATATGAGTTGGGTGTACAGATTTCTGGGGCCTTCTGGAAATTGAAGTTAAAGGGCTCTTCCATATTTGCAAGTAATTGCACTTTTCTAGTTGTTATAATTCTTGTTTCATGTAAGCAGTGTCTATTTTCAGCTTCAATAATGTCACATCAAAATGGAAATCATGGCATGATGGTGCAGAACAAAATGGATAGTCCAAACTACTACAACTACAGCCCGCAATCAGAATCTGCACTGGTCAATATGCATGCTGGCATGCCAAATGGCCAACCAACCCTCAGTCCTGCTGCAGGAAATCCACACAAACGATTGAAACGCACAACTATGAGCTCCATTTCATCTGCAGAAGATGATGTTGAAAGTGTTGGTGAAGAGGCAGAAACTATAAACCAATACTATGCCAAACCAGCATCCAGTATTGGCCAGCAAGCTTCCTGGCAAAGTGATCACGTGGATTCAGGTACATATAGATTTTACAAATGCTGTGAAAGATCATTTTAAATATCGTCTTTAGTTTTAATCATCATGCTATGTGTATCATACTAATCATGGTTCCCATTGCCAGTGGGAAACCTGGAAAGTTGTTGATAAAAATTCCAGTCAGGGAAACATCAGGGAAATCTACACAATCAGGGAATTTTGACACTTGAAACTCATACTCCCTATTATTTAATGTTATGGCAGCCATGCAATTGTGAGAAATATAGTTTATTCATTTGAAAAAGATCTTTGTTTAGGTTAAGTGGTATTTATCAAATTTTACTACATCAAGGTCTTTTTTGTGACTGATAGGGATTAGCTCCTCTTGTCTCCGGCTTTAACTAAGTTCTAAATTTCAAATATTTTGAGTGAAATATTACATTGCCTTGGTATTAGTTTAGCATTTGAATTTCAAAAATCAATTAAAATGTAAAAAGGTTAAATCACAAAACTTCTCATAAAATATTGCTATTAGATTCTATAAAACTCTTTGTTAATGAAAATCAGTGTTAAGTAAACCATTTGACTTAGAAGCATGAATGTTGCACTGAAAGTAGTAATGGTATTTACTTCACATTATTATTTTCATGATTAATTGGTTCATGTATATTCTGTTACTAAGGTTTGTCAGTGAGATCCTAGTCCTGAAGTTCCTTTTCAAAGATTGTAATACTTGTTTTGATGAGGGAATGATTTATAGATTTAATTCGTAGTTGTCATGTTTTTACTCTTTAAATGGTGGCAAATGGACGGCTTTTAGGGGGGGATAATTACTTGGTGACTTAGTTTTCTTTAAACAAAAATTAACACTTAAGTATTCTATAGAAAATCTAAAAAAAGACATTTCCAATGGTGTTGTGTATTCTAAGGTTGTTTATAAAGCTCCAGTTGTTAAAATGGAGGCCGTATGATACAGTCTGGCAACGTTCTATGTTCCCTGGAAATATCAGGGAATTTGTTTATTAAGGAATAGGGTGGGAAGCATGCTTATGTCCCTCAATTTGTATGATTATTATTCCCATTCACAAAGTGTGATGGGGATATATATAGGAATGTACATGTGTGCTGTCTGTCCGTCTTTCAATCCATCATGTTTTGTTTCAAAGACAGTTCAATATTCCTTAATCAAACTTTGCACAGATATGACAATGTATGAGGCTAGCCATGAAAGTTTCAATCTCACGAATGATTTGTCCATTGAATGATCCACTGGTGACCTTTCCATTTTAGCATTTATTATCTATCATGTATTTCCTAATTCCATCAATTCAAATGTAAAACCCCAGTGCATCTGATGATAACCTCCGCTCCCAAGTGACCTTCTCAAAGTAAATCTAGTCTACTGAAATGGCATAAGGTACCAGTTTGAAAGTCAAGTGAGATTATGTGTCTGCCAGCTTCTCCAGAGTTCTTTGTCATCATCAGCTGCTTGTTCCCATATTGATGTCACCTCAATTTGCAACAGGTTTGAACTGGATCATCAATATGGCCACCCCGGGAGCCATTTTTGTTAAAAATGTAATGAAATTTGGTATATATACGCAGTGAGTATTGGGAATCGAGTCATGTTCTGTGTTTGTTTTGCAGTATTTTATGTCTTCTCTTCCAAAACTGTATGACTCAGGAAGCTGAATGTATTTGACCTGTATGTTGGCCTGCATGTTTTTTCTTATGTTGACATCATAGGATTATTATACCCCTCAGGATCCCCATTGTCCTATGCTTGTCATGAAAGACAAGTTAATGGATCAAATGGCCAGACTCAGTTACTTTGTTGATAGCATGTTAGTGTGCCATGGCGGCACAGGTCGTGTTTCACGATATCATTCCCCGGTTTGCTTGGTGCAGACTAGGTCATATAACTGTAATATTGTTGAGTGCGGTGTTAAACAACAAACAAAACTGCAACAAAAAAACATTGAGGAATATATTTTTTGTTAATTAACTGAAAAAAAAAAAAAAATTCACAAAAGATTCCAACATTTTATTTTTAAGCACAAGAATGGGTATAATCATGGCTATTAACATGATTAGTTTCAAGGCATGTAACAAGTTTTCTCTTTATTTCTCAAAATCTGTTGGTTCGAATTTGTTGAAATCTAGCAAAGCTTCCCTCCACGAAAAGACAACATCCATGGTATAGTGGATAGAGTGTCAAATGGGAGAGCAGAAGGTTTGGGGTTCGATTATGCCAAAATATGTTAAAAGATGGTCACTATATAGGTGAAAAAATCTGGAACCTTTTACCCCCGGGGGCATGGGTGGCCCAAGCGTCTAAGGTGCCGCGATTCGCTGTGCAGAGTTGCGTCCCTTGAGCACGCCACAAACCTATGATTGTGGGTACAAATCCCGGTTCGCCACAATTATGTTTCTAGGTTTGTCAGCACCATACCCGTGCTCGTGGGTTTCACCGAAGTGGTAAACGTCTGAAACTTGCATCACTTTGAGCTTTCCTCCAACATTAAGCTGACACGCAGCGATATAACTGGAATACTGTTAAAAGCGGTGTTAAGCCAAACTCACTCACTCACTCACTCAGTCACCTGGGCGGTCGGGTAGCCTAGTGGTTAAAGCATTCGCCCGTCACGCAGAAGACCCGGGTTCGATTCCCGACATGGGTACAATGTGTGAAGCCCATTTCTGGTGTCCTTCGCCGTGATATTGCTGGAATATTGCTTAAAGCGGCATTAAACCCTACTCACTCATTCACTCACTCACTCACTCACTCACTCACTCACTCACTCACTCACTCACTCACCTTAAACCTCATTTCACCTCAGCTCCTTCATGGTTGAAGTGTTATTAAATCAACAGACTGAATAGGCGTTATCAGTCATCATCTGTTAACTGTTGCATTTTCAACATCTCATCTGAAACAAGAAGGTGAAGCTGAAACTTTGCATGAATGATTCCAGCTGTGTTGTATCTAAAAGTGGTACAGCTCTTAGTGTTGGCCTAACTTAGGTTACTGGCGATCTGCAGCCTGTTTTTATAATGTGTCGTCTGTTATAATCTGATCATTTTATTGTTCTAAAACTAGTTTTACAATTATAATCTGTGATATATTGCTAGTTGTTGTACTGTCCTTCGACGACAGGTTTTTATATCTAATATAAATGCTTAACTTGCTCAAGTCATGATATGGCTGAAATAGTGCCGATGTGACTTTAAATATTAACTCACTCACTCATTTCAGATTTTTTAGGTAGATTGGTTACCTAATTACTTTTATTTCTGGTCATCCTGCAGAGATTACATAAAAAAGTATTTTTTATTGATGTCAACAATTGGTGTTATATATTTTTTTCACTTTTGTGAGGTACATATGCTCTACAGTGTTGGTCGATGATGAACCTAATATTGTCCAGGAGAGGACATATCAAAGAAACCTTGCATGCTAATGCAGCTTGTTCACACTCTGTATCAGAAATGTCACTCATGTAGGTGAATTGAAGAAAAAGACTGCAGGTCTTTTGTAATTTTAAATCAATTTGATAATCAACATGCTCACTAACATGAGGGGGATGATTTCTTGTCTGAATATGACTTTGGCAGACGTCCATCTACAGACAACCATATGGTGTGAGACACCACCCATACTATGGGACTAGGGGCAGAGGCAGATGATACGTACAGCAGGTTTTTTTAGGAAATGATCAAGGCATATTTCAGAGGATTAACCAGCACTGGAGAGGCAGAGGGAAAGAGTCACAGACCACAAAGTTGGTGAGTACAGACAGAATTGTTCCAAGCAGGTAATTTGAAACAGTGTATTACGGTTTGAAGTTGGATTACATTGGATGTACACATTTTGAGCAACATTGCTGAATTAAGTATCATATAAATTGAGGGATTCCCTCCATCTCAGGTGTCAGAACCTGAACATTTTCAATTTTCTTTCCAAGGATCAGTAGTTATAGATGAAATTCTGATAATTAATTGACAGCATAGATGAGGAAACAACTAAAAGTCCAAATCAAATGGTTGCTAACATACTGATCAGATAGAAAAATGAGGAACCTACAGGTTGATTTAATTTAGAAAAGCTCAACTTGTATGTTGAACGTAACGAGGAAATTTTTGTGATTAAATGGCATGATACACTGTTTTAATATACCTGCTTGCCCAATTGGACTTAGCTCAAGCCCCAGCTCAGGCCCCTGAATTTTTACCAAGCTAGTTTCGGTTTCCAAAAGATCACTCGATGTGGCTTGCTTTGGGTACATTGATGACAGTTGTATCACAAGTGAGGCAGTGGATACCCTCAGGCAGATTATGGTTTTACAAACATTTACTGTATTCGAAGTAATAAGCGCCCACGGCGACATTTGCTAAGATATTGGCTATTGAACAATCCCAATCAGCACCCCTTCCGAGTGATCAATGTACACAAGACTTATTTATTCGCGTATAATATGCACTTGTGTGTTTTACACACCCTTAATTATGGGCATTTAATTCTGGAAAAATATATCTGTCATCCATAAACATTTCAGGCTGTCATCATAAACCACGAAATTTATCTTTCAACTCTGTTTTTTCCACCAAAATAACATTCTAATAAGATCCCCCCAAAATAACATTCTAATAAGATCCCCCTATTTCTAATTTTGAGAGCGCCCTGGGCGCTTATTACGTCGAATACGGTATATGGAAAGTCACAATTCCAACCAACACAGTATGTGAAGTTTCTGGGGCTTTGGCTTAATTCATTTCAGATGACTGTTGCATTTAATCAAGAGAAATAAAAGTTCATTTGTGACAAGGTGCTGAGATTCTCAAAACAAATATGACTGTAAAAATCAGTTCATTGGTACAGTAATTTGCATATTGCAAACTGCACTCTTTTGGTTGGAGTGTTGATAAAATAATGAAAATAACAACAGAGCCTGAACATGAGCTTCAGTAGTGGCTAGACAATATCACTCATAGCAGGAGAAAGATTAGTTCCCCAAGACCCAATATTCAAATTGATGTAGACTCGAGACTGTAAGGTTGGAGGCGTACTGTCAGGGAAAGATAGCTCAGGAGAATGGTCAGAGTCTGAAGTTTGTTGTTATATCAATGTTCCTGTAATTAGAGCAGTTGATTTGTTGATATGTGATGGTATTGCTAAACAAAATTTTGACTTGGGCCATAGAACAAAATATTCATCTGGTCTTTCTCACATACCAAGTGTTGATAACAATAGCACAGATAAAGCAACCAGAATTATTTTGAAATAGGGCCAAGCGGATTCTGACGGATAGTGTTTTTTTAAAAATCAATACTTCATCATTCCTGCAAATATCCTACCTCTTAGTGTTACATCATTGTGATAAATTGTGTATTTTGGCTGTCATCACACTATAAAATCTTCAGATTTTCAACAGTAGTCCTCTTTACTGTCATCAATCAATAATCAGTTATGCAAGTAATACTGCTTCCCCAGCCTCTTTCGTGAGTTTTATCTGCACATTAGTGGTAGTTTGTCACTCTGTAGTTAACCTGCATAAGCTCCTGTGGCCAAGTTAAATGTCTTGATAAGTCAAGTAAGTTGAAATGAAATGCTGCATCAACCAGACGCACAATTGTCCCTTTCCAGACCCCTCATCTGCTGATGAGGATTTGTTCAAATTTTTGAAGCCTCCCAACACAAGGATGTCATTGCCTAAGTCTAGGATCAAGGAGCTCAACATTGTCAACAGATATACCATGGTAATTGGGACATATATATCAACTGGTTTGTGGATGGAGTATGCGACGGCTCACCACCTCTTTTATGGATCTTATGAGAGTGTCTGAGGGGACTTGCCATTCACTATGCAGACAGATCCATTGGTTTCATCCTAACTTTAAGTTTAAGTCCTAATAGAGCAGTGGCGGAAGAGTCCAGGAGGTTTGTCCTGTCACATCCTATCACGTCACAACACTTCTTTAACAATAAGCTACACATGCATGGTCCCGCACTTGAGCATGAGCCTGTTTGATCAGTTTGGACCTCCAGGCTGCTTATTTCCATGTTGGATGCGATTATTCAGTACCTGACAAACAGGATGATGGAACTGCATTATCCATGAACTGTAAGAGTCTGTTTGTAGCCTCTCTGGTCTCTTCTAGAAAGTTAGACACAGATCGCATGATTACCCTAATAGCTCATGTTTGGCCAAGCCAACCGTGGTTTCAAAACCAGTCTCCGTTGTTATATGGAAGAACCACTCAAAATACCTGAGCGTTAAGATCTTCTCCATTAGCCCAGATCGGACATAATGTATGTCAATCTCCAAAGTCTTCATTTTCACACATGGAAACTATTACGTGTAAGATGCAGGCTTCTGTCTTCTCCAAGTCTCCATCTGCAGAGTTGGAACAATCTTGGAGATCTTCTTCACCTGCGATCTATGACAACAGGTAGCACAAGTTCTGTCAGAAGAGAAGAAGGCAGGGAATGGTGATGGGGAATGATGATGTAACTAAACCCTTGGTGGTGGACTTCTTACTTCATCTCTGGCAGGATAGCAAGTTTTGTCATGGTACCATAGATGGATATAGATCACCCTTAGCCTCAGTGTTTCAGCATGATAGTGGACAACTTAGGAAATCACCTCGTTCTAACCAGACTGATGAGATCATTGTTTTCTGTTTTCTATTTCCAACCTTCTCGAAGTAGAATCTATCACTATCACTAGTCTCATCTGCTTCAGAGGAAGTTTTTCACATATTTTTTTATGTTCCTGACATCTTCTTGATTAGTCTTTTAATGTGATTCAGTTACGATACTTAACCTAGTCTTTGGTCTTTCTTTCACCTTGTGGAAGGGTTTTATATTTATTAGGCATCCACAACTACTGTTAACTATCCTTGGACTACTAGATCTAAGAGCCCATTTCTTTTCTGTCAATATGTTTTGCAATATTTTCAATTTTGACCTTATTTGACCTTGCTCTTAATTTCTCTCAAAATGCATATATGCCTATGTAAGCACCTTAATCAATAGTTGAATCATGAAAACTCCAGGAATAAGTAGCTCCAGTCTGGCCTCCTCAGACCTTGTTTTATCATCCGCTTTCACATCTTGTTGACAGGCAAAGGGAGATGACCCAAGCCAGGAACAAGCTGAACCTACCATGGGATTGAAAGGCACAGCCTCACTTCATTGGACAGTGACTTGTAACTTTCATGGTGTCGAGTGTGACTGGAAGGACAGTGGCATTTCAACAAACATTGCTGAATTCCTGTGGGTACCTGAAAGCAATACAGGTCACGTTGGGACTGATTGTGCAACTTTTGTAATGAGAGACAGACTGATCCAGTTCATTCCACTGAAGGGGAAGTTTTAGACTTTCTGTGATATAGTGTCCTGCTTATTGCCAGAAGAGCATAAGATGTGACCCACCAGGGGGAACCTTATGGGTGCTAGGATTGTGCTGTGATGTCATAAAGAAAGATGTTTGATGTCAATTCTTCCCCATATAAATCTCTGCGTGTCCGTTCTGTACAAAAATAACTTTCTTTCTCTCTCGTTAGTTCGTAATGTAATTAAATATTATTTTTAACTCATCCTGCATCATTCCTTATGCATTTACTGCTTACCTTACGACAAGGAAGACAGCACTTCGCGATCGTCCTACGTGAAAAAAAGAAAAAGCAGTTTCAGACTCAAGTCTGCTTTTTACAGGACCACCGCCACTGTCATGTGACAGATTGTGATGTTACATCCATTTCATATTACTGCTCATCGTCGTCAGCTAAAGTCGTGTCTCGCTTTTGGCTCTTCAACTTTGGCTAAATTTGGTGGTCAGCATTCTGCTACAACACTAAATTACTTCTGAGACGGGTGATGTATTCCTTTCATATTTTTTTAACTTGATTGTGTGTTAATATGCAGGTGCCACTTGGCTCGTTGTTTCCGCCATTTTGAATTTGTGTTACAATTGTTTACCTCTTACCAAGGAAGTCAAGTTTATTTGCAAGTCTCGTCTTGGGTATTAACATGCTTATGGATATATATATATAAATACCACTAGCCTTTGGCGTTATAAAGAGTTTTCATGTTTGTATTTATACACCTTAAAAACTTGAATTTCTTTTGCCAATTTCAACTGTGTGTTTATCATCGGCATGCTGAAGTCTACTTCAACTACAACTTCTAATTTTGTGTAATTGTGCGGTGTTCAAATTGTCGTGGTAAAATATCTTCTAAAGGTCCTCATCCATGTTGCTTGGACTGCACTCAAGTATGTGCTACAAATTTCAAATGTAATTTTTGTTCACTTCTTTCTTCACCGAGTTCTCCATTTATAGACAGGTCACCAGGGCTCCAGATAATTTTTCAGCAACACAAGTACATACTCCACATTTTTTCAATATAGGAGTACTTGCAAAACTCAAGAGTACACTTAGAGTACTGAATGGAATTTAATGGATTCATCTTGTATTTCATCTTAGAAATGCACCACAGCATTGCTACTCTTGTGTAAACATGTCAGTAAACAATAAATAATACTTTCTTCGTTGTACACGTATGTCTATTGTATAATGCGCTCTTCCCTCCAGGGTATTCAGTATGTTTTGGGAAAGAAATTGAGTATTATGAGCAGAATGTTTTACTTTTACATCCTATCCCTTTAGCAAATTCAGGTAACGAACAGGTTATAACAAACTTGGTTAATACAAATTTGAACTTTCAGATTGGTATCACTAGACATGATGATTTACCATTTAAATTGTATTTCCAGTTCTAAGCAGATATTGAGATTACCATGAGTATTTCCTCGTAAACTAAGCCGGAAACAGCAATTAGGTGTACACATGTTTTCTCAAAATCTACTGGGGTTAAAAAATTACCCAATAATATAACTTAAAGAATTTTGATTCATTGATTGGAAAAATTCCTCAGGAATTATATATTTATAAATGACAAAACAAAAGAAATAGCAACAAAAATTTATTAATGTTTGGCAGGGGGATTCTCATTGTAATACTGACCCAGTCAGGCATACTGCAATATGCATACCATAATAAAGCCTGACTGGGTAAAAAATTATGTGCATATACTTGCAGCCGAGTATAAATGCACCGGTTAGAATGGCTGCCAGCCTACCTGCGACCAGGTAGTCTGGTCAGCCTACCTGCGACCAGGTAGTCCAGTGAAGCTACAAGCATGGTTCCCAGACCTCGAGCTTGCCCTGATGGTAGGGGCGCTTCACTGGTTGCTAGAGGATAAGTTGCAATTTGCAAAATGGTGGTTTGAATTACTTATGGAAGGGGGGAAGAAGATCCACTTGTGTGGATGCTAGCCCAAAATGATTAGTTGGGGAGAATAAGAGCAAACTGAGAATCCCCCATAAGTAATATAAATGGTAAGTGTATGTACAGTTGTGTATCAAAAATGGCCTATGGCCCTACCATGACATGAAAATATATATGACTAGATACTACGCAATAGTAGAATAAGATGAAGGCAAAAAAAAAAAAAAATTCATGAAAAATACATACATGTATACTTAGTAAGTATAAACGGTACTATAATACTAGTGGTAATAGGCTATGAGATCACTGTGTTGGCCGGGGGTTACAAGTGGCCATGAGGTTTTGTGCTTGAGCAATTGAATCCCGAGACGTTCTGATGTAACGGGTATAGCACTGAGATGTCCAGCGTCCTAGAGTCTGGATCATATGATCCTCAATATTCACTTTGGCTGCCGAAGTAGCCGCACCAATTCGGAATGAGTGTCCATTGTAAGCGTCTTGGTTATAACCCGCTCTAGTCAGTAGCATTCTTAGAGTTTGAATAAAATATGTGCGGGATAATGCACTGCCACAGGGAGACACAAAAAGAGGAGCATTGGAGTCATGTGTCGCTGCTGAGCGCCAGTAGATGTATTCGGTCATGCTGGCTACTGGACAAATAGCATTGCCAACTTGATGAAGTATGAGAGTGATTCCTTGTCAAAATGGATCAGTTTTGGATGATTTCAGATGCAGTTGGAAGTATGACAGGTCACTGGAAAACTTGACAGAATTAAGACACAGATGCATGTTGGGGTTGAAATTATCACAGGTAAACTCTCCGCATCTAAGAAAGGCGAAGAAAGCTAAACAACACACTGCTTTCATTAACACCACAGTGTGATATGGTAACACTCCTATTTGCATCACATGACATATATCACTTAACACTTGGGCTGTGATGGGTAACCGTATCCTGTTTGTAGGACACTGATCCTTCTTGATAGCAGAGGTGATTGTCTGTAGACGTTGTAAGTTGCCTGTAGTCCATGGGTTGTCTATTCCTGCCTTGAGATAATAGAATCTAACACCACACAAGTAGGACTTAATAGTGGAGTATCTCAACTGGAGTGTATGATAGCAATAGGTAACAAACAATAGAAGTGTCTGTTCTGACAGTTGGGGGAGTTTCCCAGGCGTGACTAGAATACCACATAAAGCCATGAACTGCATAAAGGTGGTATACCCTGACCTGTACACTTGTGCTGTTTGATTCGACACAGCACTTGACCACAGTTGCGTCAGATCTTGCTCTGTCCGCCTTCTTGTCGGAGTCATGGGTACATGAGCTGCGATGTTGGAGGACATGGAGTCGGGAGTGGGTATGCTTCTGGTGCTAACTTCCGAAACTTTGCAATCTGTAACCGAGACAATGCATCAGTAATACAATTGATCTTTCCAGGGACATGTCTAGCTGAACATACAAAGTTATTATTCACTGCTTGAAGTGTTAATCTCCGCACAAGGCTCATGATGGTAGGAGATTTAGACCGGCCCTTATTAATGATATCCACAGTGGCTGTATTGTCACAATAAAACCGGATGCACTGTCTCTTCCAATTGTGACCCCACAAAACTGCTGCTACGACAATTGGACAAAGTTCCATCAAGGCAATTGAGATGTCATCGCCAACTTGGTCGAATAGGTCTGTAGGCCAGCGAGCAGAGAACCACTTCCGTTGGAAATATCCACCATATTCTAATGAGGCTGCTGCATCAGTGTAGAGAGTTAAGGTAGGTGCATCCACTGTCTCCATGATGAACATAGAAACACCATTCCAACTAGTCAGAAATGTTTTCCACATATGGAAGTCCAATCTACATTGTTGATTGATAGTAACTGTGTCTGTCAATTTGTGAACTGAATGGGCAAGCTGTAGCAAATAGCTGATGAATGATCGTCCTGGTCTAATAACTTGCATGGCAAAGTTCATATGCCCTAACACCACCAACATCTGTCTTTTGGTAACTGTTGTTTGGCGTAACAAGTTGTCAATAATCTGCCTAATCCTGGCTATTTTCTCGGCTGGCAGACTAGCTTCTAATTTCACTGAATCTAAGGTGATTCCCAAATACTCTATGCATGTGGTAGGTCCAACAGTTTTGTGATATGCCAATGGTATGCACAACTCCTGAAACATTTGCAGTAGAGATTCCATAGATCGTGAACCTTCCTGCAAGGATGAATCAAAACAGATGAAATCATCTAGGAGATGTAGGATGTGATGAATATCGAAGCAATTCTCAGCTATCCAACATATGGCAACTGACAGTGTATCAAATAGCTTTGGACTCGATCTACATCCAAACACAAGCCGTGTATAGTAGTATAGTTGACCTTGCCACCTAATGCCATGGAGATGCCATTGTGAAGGGTGAATAGGAATGAGTTTGAAGGCATCCGTAATGTCTGTCTTACACATGAAGGTACCACGTCCCAGTTGTTTGATAATTTGAATGGCATCGTCAACTTTGACGTACGTTAATGAGAACTTCTCCTTGTCAATCAGTGAATTTAAGCTGGGATGGTGATTATCCTCATATGGGGCTGACATGTCAACAATTAGACGCTTCTTTTTTGAATACTTGCCTTCCACCATTCCGACAGGATTGACTCTGTGTACTTGGAAGGGACTGATTTTGAATGGACCTATCAAGTAGCCTTTGGCCAATTCGCTCTGGATTAATTCTGTCACTGCATCAATATTCGGGGCTTGAGTTGATCTCAGGTTGCGACAAATCTTGCTAGTGATAGGAGGATTATCAATGCCTGTAAGAAAACCATTGGATAGTCCATTGAGTAGTTGACGCACCATGGAATGATCTGGATGGTTTTGCAAATAGAGTTCAAGAGTATGGATACATACAGGCGATGGAACTGCGCCCAGTTCCGCACATTGGTCTAGTCACTGATCGCGTTTGGTGCGTCGAGTGTCTTTAGTGTCTCTTGTGGTATATTCCTGTCCCCGTTCCTGCTTGCACTTGCTGCGAGGATGGTTCTTTTTGCATGTTGCACAAACATGTAGGTATCGACATTGGGGAAAAGTACAAGAGTCATCTTGATAGTTGTTGCAAAGCTTCTGTCCTTGGTGGTGTACGATCAGACGGCCTTTGATGTCATGAGTTTGGGAATTTACATAATGTCTACCTGCACTGCGGGAGGCCTGGGATGAGATACCATTCTGACGAGATTCAGTGTTCAATGGGCAAAATTCAGCCTGGTGATCAATGCCTGTACACAAGTTGCATTATTTGGCTTTCCTGGCTGTAAACACCTTGCGGTAGATTTCTCTGTCTAGTGTTCCCCAATCCAAAGGTTCATTGAATTGTTGAATACTTGCTGCTGCTTTCGCCGAAAACATCTTGTGGTAGGTGTACCAAGCCGAATCATTGGTTTCATTACTTAGGCCCATAATGATGCGCTGGTATTCGTCCAATTCATCCCGACGCCAGGAGTGTTGTTCTGTCATAATACGTTTGTATCGCAGGAAAGCATTCACAAAATCATTGATTGACATGGCCTGATGGAGACGTTTGTCAGTCTGAGGTTTAAGCTGAATCTCATTGCCCGCTATGTGGGTAGTCTGTGGGCCGGTCTGAATCTCATCAGGCATTAATAACAAGGCTAAATTGACATCCTTACCATCTATGATTTGTTGACGTAGGACTGGTGAGATGGTATCAATTCTTTGTACTGTGTTGGGGTCACGACTTGGACGTCTCGTCCCATCTAAGTTGCCTTGGAGAGCAGTGTACAATGTAAACTGTCGATGGCTGCCTGAATTCACTGCTGAAGGCTGTCGATATATCGTAGACATGGTAGCAATGGCAGGATTATTGTCTTGTTCATCCTGATTGGTCACAGTGGCAATGTTGTTCGGCAAGATGGACTGTGTAAGCATAGCCACTGTAGATTGTAAAGCTTGAACATTTTTGGTCAATTCAGCCAAATTCATTTGCTGATTGTCATTGGAGGACGTGTCTTCAGTGTTACATGGACGGATAGTTTCAGTCCGTAGCCCGAGTTGTGACGTATTTGTCGTATCAGCATTAGTATCCTCACTGCTTGTTGACGTCACGGTAGCCGAAGGTACTCTTCTCGGAAGTAGCTGAATACGATTTGTTGGCAATGTGGCACTGTTCCTGGTATATAAATGCAACAATTGGGCTTTTGTCATAGAGGTAGGCAGGTTGTTAAGTCCAAATTCTTCGGAAATGCGCTGCCTGAGTTGCGAGACATACCAGTTTTGCGGATTAGGGTCTATGATATCGGGATTATCGCTTGCGTAGCGGATGCGAGCCCTGTGGGTACTACGAGGACTTGTGGCTGCATCGTCGTCGACTTGAGCCAGTTGAGGCTGGGCGCCATTGTCTTGGCTTACGGGCTGTTTGCGTAAGTTACTTCTTTTGGCCTTACGAGGCGCCATCCTGAAGTGATTGTGTGCTACAATTGATACAGTGATCGCTCGCTATTGCGCTACCAATGGGGTCCAAATAATTGGTGGGCGTTATAGACGATGAGCCGTTTAACCGAGGCCGAGGCGGGGGAGCGCGCTCGGCAAATCTCAAATCATCAATAGGCCTATGTGTTTATCTCACGTCACGTCAAAATAGTATATATTTTTATGGACCTAGATCTACCTGTAATATCATTCATTTATTAAATCTGTCATATTTCACAATGTCTGAAATACGTATTCCATTCTAATTTATCATTTTTTATCAATAAATTAAAAAATTATTCACTATTTCCCGCGATGTTATTGAAAATAAAATTCTCGGACACACATTTCGACAACGGGTCCGCATCGAACATGTCAAAGAGCAAAATAAATACTATTTTAAGCAAATCTTTAAATATATTATACAAAGTGATAAATAAAATCAACAAAAATATATCTAAAAGTAATCAAACTTACATCTAAGTTATTATTTCCATCGTTTCGTGCGATCGCGTGTAATGTAAGTCAAATGACATCTCGGCTTTCGTCGCCTTGAATTCTCGGCTCGGACACAACGTTTAATGCAATAATATATGCATGAAAAATCTTTGTCACAGCTCGTAACCTAGCACGATACATTCGCGAAGTTCCATATTTTTAATATATATCGTGATTTCCTGCTTAAAACGTTCAGAATAACACGATTTAACAAAAAATCTTTCGCTAACTTCTGAAATTTATCAAACACGAGCTTGGTATCACAGCTTGATTGGC